TCTATGCACAATCAGCTTGTAACACTCCAAAGAGAAAGGAAAACTTGAAATCGCATCATATGACCCCTTTAACACTATTTATGGCTGTTATTAATATTTGCTGAAGTTTCTATATCCTTTGTCTTCAAAGGATTTTCAATTTTCAAACCTACTAATTCTTAATCTTTTTAATGTTAAATCTTTAATATGTTTATACAGTACACTCCAAAATGTTGTTTTTTTTATGTCCTCGCACTGTGACATTGACTCTTGTCATTGTTTGTATGTAATGACTAGAGGCAAATAATGTTTTTTTTTTAATCCAGGACACAGTGATTGAAAGTTGAGTCTAACATAAATATGCAATGACACTATCTCTGTTTGATGTGCAGTATCTTCCGAAGATCTTTCATGTGAAATTCTATCTTATCCCTGTTGCTTGACTCTTTAATCTCAAATGCAAGCATCAATTATTGTTGCTGATACTTACGGTTACAGATTTTAAACTTTCAAATGTAACACTTCAATTATGGTGTATAATTAATGGGCAGTTTGTGCTATTGGCATAAATAATACCTTAAATCATGCAGCTATCATAGTCCAACCTGAGCAGACACCTACTGTACAGAAGCAATGTAACCACCCAGAAGTCCCCAGTAATGGCACAGAAGCATGGTAAAACCACCCAGAACACATTAGCAAAGGCATAGAGAAGCTCTGTCAACCAACAATAACATCCTAGAATCATGGCAGTGAATTTTGGACGAACAAGCACTCTCTAATATCGCTTATTTTCATAATCAGACCTATACATAGTGCTGAGGTATGAACAAGTTGTGCTATGGATTCAGCTCCATCGGTTGCCAAATTAAAAGGTTAGTGACCGTTCATCTCTAGGGAATGCTAGCTGGCAAAGAGACCTAAAGAAAGAGGATTTGTTACTTAGAGCACGAAAAGCCAATTAATCCTCACACAGAATATGTTAAAGAGCATAGATTATGTTTTTAAAAGGGAATCAATTATTTAGCCTCGCCGTTTGAGAGCCTTTTATGTGGATCTCAATGCAGAGCCCCAAAGCATGCATGTGTTTGTCAGGGTTGAGTGCAGCTTTCAAGGAGGATTTAATGTCAGTGGAACAAAGCTGTGTTCCTGGCCTGGCGACATTGCAGTCAGTTACTGTGCCATTACCATGGTTCACCCCTTACCTCCGTCACGGAAACGTGGAGAGCAGACAGTAAACCATGCCAGAATGTTTTACTGCAAATATAGCTATCACAGTCCAGTCCTCAGTGTAAAAGCCTGCTCTTGAGCAATATACTTTACAGTCCCACTGGTTGGATTAATAGAATTTGTGTACACTGGTCATAATTAGATGCATGTGAGCTCAAAACACCCCTGAGCATTTGCAAAGTAAACGTTTTCTCTATCTCCACCGCAAGACAGGCCATGATATGTCTTGCATTTTTCATTAGCAGCAATGTCAGAGTACATAATTAGATGCTTTGAATTAATGCAAAAAATAATAATAATAAAGATTTATTACAGTCAGGGATTCGGTGTCTTGTTCCATGCATTAAACTGGAGTCGGGCTAATAGGACCATTTAATTTCCTCTCTCCAGATACATTAGGTTTTATGTGCGTTGAAGTGCGGCAAGCCTTTTATCGCAACCCGCTATCTAGCTGTTATTTCTATCACATCTAGTTCATTCAGTTAGTTCATTTTCTAGTGGTCCTGAAGACATTGATTAGCATGCTCAGGTGTGTTTGATTAGGGTTAGAGCTAAACTCTGCAGGAAAGTGGATCTTGTGAGCCAGATTTGAGGATACCTGGGGGAATAAAAAAAAAAAAATTATTCAGCAGAATTGATCAAAAGTGATAAAATATTTCCTGTTTGAACATTCTATTCATAAAAGATTGTAGAAAGAAAATATATCAGGGTTTCCACAAAAATATTAAGCAGCAAGAACTGTATTTAACATTGATAATAAGAACTGTTATTAATAATTAAGCACCAAATTTGTATATTAGAATGATTTCTAAAGGATCATGTGAAACTGAAGACTAAAGTAATAACTTCTGAAAGTTTAGCTTTGCCATCATAATAATAGATATTTTAAAGGGGTCATATGATGCTGCTAAAAAGAACATTATTTTGTGTATTTGGTGTAATGAAATGTGTTTATGTGGTTTAAGGTTCAAAAAACACATTATTTTCCACATACTGTACATTATTGTTTCTCCTCTATGCCCCGCCTTTCTGAAACGCGTCGATTTTTACAAAGCTCATCGTTCTAAAAAAGCGAGGTGTGCTGTGATTGGCCAGCTATCCAGTGCGTTGTGATTGGCCGAATACCTCAAGCGTGTGACGGAAATGTTACGCCCCTTACCATGTATTGTAATGATGATGTGTCAGGCCGGAGCGATGATTCAAAAACATGAAAACCCATTATAAACGAGGCATTTGTTGCATCCAGTGGGGACATACAACAATACTACAGCAAGAATAAAAGTTAAGCCTTCTTACTTTGCGTGAACATTTGGGCGGCGTTATGCAAATCTTCCCACATAGCGACGTAGATATGTGGGGGCGTGTTAGAACGAGCCGTTTTAGGTAGGCGTGGCTGACTCTTAACTTTTATAAAGAATATCTCTTTGAATATGAGACTTTAGTCTTTGCAACTTTACAGATCTTCTTTATGCACCAAGAGCTTGTAACACTCCAAAGAGAAAGGAAAAATTGAAATCGTATCATATGACCCCTTTAAAATATATTAAAATAGAAAACTTTTAAATCTATTTAAACTTTTAAATCAAGATCATATTTTACAGTATTACTGCTTTTACTGTATTTTTGATCAAATAAATGTACACTTGGTGAGCAGACACCTTTAAAAAAAAAAATCCTAATTATTAACAACTTTTGATCAGTGTCTATATATTGACATATCAACACATTTCCCAAGTATTTTTTTAGCGATTTTGAGTCAATATTGTGTACAATAAATGTTCTGCCATTTCGTACAATTTTATTTGGTATCATAAAATATTTAAAGTGAGGTCCACTGGGAAACTACACTGAAAATATTCTTATTTATTTTTCCATTTTACCAATTCAAATTTTCACATAATATAATTTGCATTAAAATGATTAATTAACAGGTTTATATGAATATTCCTATAGATACTGGCAGCCAGGTTTGTCCTGCAGTATGATTAATCATGGCCAAACATGTCACTGATGACACAGTGAATGGGACTGTAGTATTTTTAAAAAATGGACCCTAGAGATGAAGGGCTTGTGTGGGTTGCTGGACAGTGGAAATATAAACAGATCTTCAGAATGAGTGTCTAAAGCTGATATACACTAAACAAACTGCCGTTGGCGGATAGCGGCTTTAAGATTTACTGGCCTCTGCCACCACTCGCAATGCGGGGGATCCTGGCAACATATGTGGATGAATCAGAGCCCACCCACTTCCAAGTGGGTCAGTCTTGGGTTATCATGTGTCTGCCAAACACTTCCTCTAAAGTGGGATTTAATTTTTCACGGAATGATGTAAAAGCACCAAGTGGAACTTGGATCTTCCTCTTCTAATTTTAACCCTCTCCTCTTTTCTTTTCCCCTTAATCTCTCGTTTTTGTTTGCTTCTCACGGAGCGTGCTGAAAGTGTTACCTGAGATGCATAACTCATTGGACCGCAGCCTATCGTGCTAAACCTCCGATGGCGTTCTTTCCTGTAAGCAGCAAAGTCGACTGCAGTTCAAGTTCAGGACCTTTCACATGCCTTCTCTAGTCCTGGAGGGTACAGGCTGAAGGCCTGCGGGTTTAAAAATAGGAGTGAATGTGATCAGGTTCCGAGTTTTATTTTCAAAGCTTAGAGGAATCCTGGGAGCGCAGACTGTTGGCCTGTAGAGGCAGAACTTTTCTAGTCCTGGGTTATGGTCTGCAGAGGAAGTGGTTTTACTTGTTAGACACAGAACTAGCTGTCTATACAGAGCAGGATGTCTTTGGGGATCTTCTATAAACACAACGGTCCCCCCTCCCCCCCAAGCTTTTTCAGCTGTCTAGTTTTAATATATTGGGAATATATTTGCATGTGTTTGGTCAGATTTCCTAGCAGTGAAGTAGATAGAATAGCAGTTAATTTTGGTTACTGAACTCAGAATCCCAAAAGGTTCGAGGTTCTGTGTCTGTGGTTTGAGAGAGTCCTAATTGCCTCTTCAGTTTGTTTATACATCCTAAAAATGCCATGTGAAATAAAAGGAGACCTAGTCCTTCTTTTTGCTTTAGTGTAACAAGCCTGTTCCTGCAGAATATGCAAAATCGGTTGTTTTGGATGCTTCATTAAACAAAAAACTTTCTTCATTGCAAGAGCTTCTACATGATTGTCTTGCATATGGGTATCTGTGCTACTTGCTTTGAATAATGCATTTACTGTAAACTACAGATAACTGTTTTTAGCAGCCATAAAAACACTAGGCTACAAGTTGCAATATGCTGTCAGCTAAACACTTGAATATCTGAATCATGCCAATGATACCACTTTATTTACATATATTTTATTT